AGAAAGAGAAAGAAAGGAAGGAAGAAAGAAAGAAAGAAAGAAAGAAAGAAAGAAAGAAAGAAAGAAGAAAGAAAGAAAGAGAAAGAGAAAGAAAAAGAGAGAGGAAGGAAGGAAGGAAGGAAGGAAGGAAGGAAGGAAGACATTACTAATTGCTATTGTCAGCAGTATCTTGGGAACTTTTGCGTATTTTTCTCATTGAACTTCACAACAGTATCAGTGTAGACAAACTTGCCCAGCACCATAAAGCAAAAAGACATACAATTAGGATTCTGACCCAGGTATATCTAAATCCAAGTGTAGAGTTACTAGTTAAGGTTCTTGCCTTCTGACAACAGTGTCAAGCATCTGGCCATGGGATGAAGGATATTTCACATTCAGTGTAGTTCAAGGTTTAGTGACTAGAGTAAGACAGATAGATTCAGTCATTCTTTTTCTTATTTTCTCTAATAATTTTTTTAGAGGTTTTCTTTTTGCCTTAGAGCATGTGCTCTTGTCAGAAAGAGAGATAGAGACAGTAGAAGGAAAGTGAGTAATCACTTCCCAGGGAGAATGAGCATGCCACAATCCCTTCTCCCCACTTCTCTTCCAGGATTCTTGGACATGCACGCACACATGCCTAGCATGAGTTTCAAGCCACCGGGTCTGGGACTCAAACCATAATTGGCCATGTGGGAGTCCAGTGATGTAACTGCTATGCTATCTGCTGGTCCCCTCATAATTTTTTATATTCCAAGTATGTCTGTTACAATATTGCCAGCTTCATTACTTATTTTATCTATCTGGTTCTTTTCTCTGTTTTTCTTGGTTAGTCTAGCTAATAGTTTATCAATTTTGTCTATCCTCTGGGGGGGGGGGGGACAGCTTTTTGGAACCAGCAGATGGGATAATGGTTACACATCGCTGAACTCCCATGTAGTTGACCATGGTTTGAGTCCCAGAAGGAGAAGGGATTGTGGCGTGGCCATCACCCCCTAGGGGGGTGATTTCTCACTTTCTGTCTCTCTGTCAAAAAAAAAATTTTTTTTTCATTTTGGTGGAGTTTTTGTATAGTTATTTTATTTTTTAGAGAGATTTGCATGAAATGATATTTCCCAGCCTTTTGCTCTCAGTCTGTGTGTGCCTTTATTGATGAAGTGTGTTTTGTGTAAACAACATATTAAGTGTTCCTGTTTTTTTCTCCATTCAGTCAACCGATATATTTTGATTGGGAAGTTTACTCTGTTCACATTCAATGATATTGATACATAAAAATTTATAGCTGCCATTTTGTTGGTTGTTTTCTGATTGCTATTGGGTTTTCTCCTTGCTTTTTTTCTTCTGTTATGCTTTATCTTTGCTATTTGGTAGATTGCAATAGGGAAGACATTGAGTTCATTTCTCTTTCTTTGTGTGGCCCTTCTACTGGTGAGTTTCATAGCTTCGTGTGTTTTCTTGATTCTACTTCCTTTTATTTCCAGATGTAGTGCTTTCTTAAGTATTTCTTGAAGAGCTGGTCTAGTCTGGTAAATTTCTTCCATTTTTATTTGTCTGGGAATGGTTTGATTTCTGCTTCAAATGAAGGAATGTATTCTTGTCTGTTTTTCTTTCAGAATTTTGAATATGTTATTGCATTCTCCCCTGGCCTTTAAGGTTTCTGCTAAGAGGTCCAAGGTTAGTCTGATGGAGTAACCTGGCCTTTATTGCTAGCCCCTTTCAGAATTTTCTCCTTATCTGTGACCTTTGACATTTTGGTATAATATGTCTTGCAGAGGTCTTCTCATGTTGGATCTGTTTAGTGTTCTTTGAATTTCCTGGATCTGGATGTCTGTATCTATCTGTAGATCTGGGAAGTTTTGGGTGACTATTCTATAAAATGGGTTTTCTATGACTTTTTCCATCTCTTTGCCTTCTAGAATTCCCGTTATGTCCATATTTGGTCTTTGAATCATGTCCCATAATTTGCATATGTTTTCTTTTTTTTTTTTGAAGAGGTTTTCGCTATAAGGCGCGTGCGCTCACCAGAGAGAGACATAGAGACAGAAAGCGAGAAATCATCCCCCAGGGGGGATGGTCATGCCGCAATGCCTTCTCCTCCATTCTCCTCTTGGGATCTTGGGCATGCACGCACATGCGCCCGGCGTGAGTTTTAAGCCACTGGGTCTGGGACGCGAACCGCGGTCAACTACGTGGGAGTCCAGCGACATAGCCATTATGCTAACTGCTGGTTCCCTGTTTTCTTCATTTTTAATGTTTTTTGTTTTGATCATTTAGACCATTTCAAGGGTTGTATCTTCAAGTTCAAATATGCTTTCCATGGCTTGGTCTAACCTGTTGTTAATGCTCTCTAAAGGATTTTTTATTACCTGTACTATATTTTTTATTTCCAGGATTTCTGTTTGATCCTTTTTTCAGATGTTTACTTCTGGGTTGAATCTCTCTTCCATCATGCATTATCTTTCTTTCTTTCTTTTTCTGTATGCATGTCCCTGTATTGATTTCTGAGCATCTGGTGGAGCACTTACCACTTCCTACTTTATGGAGTAGTTTTTGTAGGGGAGAGGTACTTGTTCCTGAAGGTGTTTCTTTTAGTATCAGTTGCATAGTGTTTTGACTTTAGTTCTCATTGTATTTAGTAGGGTATCCTGTATATTCTGTTTGGAATGTTTGTCAGCAGTGTCTGTGAGTGCCTTTGTGGCCAAGACCACTAGTGTTTATAGATAAACTGATGTGGCTTTGTTGGCTGTGATCTCTGGGGTTGTGGCCTGGATTCCTCTAACTCTGGATAGGGTCATGCAGTGCTTGGGAGCCCACTCATGGAGAAGGTATATCTGGGGGCAATAGTTATAGTAGGTGGCAAGTATGGGGGTGCTGGTGACTTCAGGCTCTGACCAGGTATGTGCAGGGAAAGGAAGTTCTGTCAGTTGAAGGGGTGAGGTTGTAGCTGGTGGCAGCTGTAGCACCAAGTTGGTGTCTTCAGGCCCTATCAGATATAGTGTCTGATGTATGCTTTGCATGTAAGAGACCCTGGGGCATAGTCACTGGTGATAGTAGCAGGGACACCCAGCCTAATACCTGGGTGGGGCAAATGTAGTGCTCCAGGGACCCACCAATAAAGAGTTAGAAGGCAGCTTCCGTGTGGGGTGATTGATTCTCAGATACCGTGTAAGCCTGGGTCACAGACAAGGTGGGTTACTGTGACCACAGTTTAAGTCCCAGACCTAGCATCTTAGAACTCATGCTGGGTGTATGTGCCCCCAAAATCCCAAGAGGAGAATGGAGGAGCAGGGATTGTGGTGTGGCCATGCTCCCTAGGGGGTGATTTCTCACTTTCTGTCTCTGTCTGTCTCTCCAGCAAGTACATGCACCCTATAGCAAAAATCCCTATTAAAAAAAAAAAAAAGGAATTCAATAGAATTTGAGATAATTCAGACAGTTTAATATGAAAGAAACATACTCCGTAATATAAATGAGAAGTTTAATAAAGAAAATAAACACTTTAAAAATAACCAAATAGCAATCGTAAAGATGAAGAATTTAATACTGGAAAGAAAACTGTCAGTTGAGAGCATCAACAATAGGCTAGGTCAATAGACTAAAGAATCTCTGAAGTTAAAGACAGATTTCAAATAAGCCAGCTGGACAAAAAGAAAGAAAAAAATGTGTGAAGAAAACATGTGTGATTATGGGATATCATTAAGCAATCAAATATTCACATAATGAGAGTTCCATAAAGAGAAAAAATAGGCATAAGAAGAAAATCTAGGGGCCAGCAGATGGTATAGCAGTTACGTTACTAGACTCCCAACATGGCCAACTGTGGTTCAAGTCCCAGAGCTGGTGGCTTGAAACTCATGCCAGGCATATGTGCATGTATACCCAAGATCCCAGGAAGAGAATGAAAAGGATTGTGGCATGGCAGAAACAAACAGAAACAAAATTGACAAACCATTGGCTAGACTAACCATGAAAAAAGAGAGAAAATAAAATCATAAATGAAAAACGAGACATTATCATTGATACCACAGAAATACAGAAGACTGTTAGACTGTTATGAACAAATATGTTCCAATAAACTGGAAAACAGAGGAAATGGATAAGTTCCTGGAAACATACAACCTACCTAGATTAAACAAGAAAGAAATAGAAATCCTGAACAGACTAATAACAAGAAAGATTAAATCAGTATTAAAAAGTCTCCCAGCAAAGAAAAGCTTAGGTCCAGAATATTTCACTGTTGAATTCTATACATCTTTTAAAGAACTAACACTAATCCTACTCATCATCCTATTCCAAAACATCCAAATGGAGGAAATTCTATCAAACTAATTTTATGAGGCCACCATTACCCTGATCCTAAAAGCAGACAAGGGTACTAAAACAACAGCAACAACAAAAACTACAGACCAATATCCCTGATGAACACTGAGGCAAAAATCCTCAACCAAACATTTGCAAACTGAATTCAAATGGAGAAGTGCAAATCAAATGGAGAACATGCTAATATTCATCCTAAGGATTCAAAGATGGTTTAACATTCACAAATTTCACAAATATAATAAATCACTTTGACAGAAAGAATGATAAAAATATGACCATATTAACTAATGAGAAAAAAGCATGCGATAAAGTACAACATCCCCTCATGATTATGACTCTATAAATTAGATATTGAAGGCATATATCTCAACACACAAAAGGTCATACATAATAAACCCACAGTTAACATTATACTGAATGAGGAAAAGTTAAAAATATTTCCTCCAAGAACTGAAATAAGATAAGGATGTCCACTTTCTTTAGTCCTATTTAGCATAATAATGGAAATTCTGGCCAAAACAGGAAAAAGAAAAAAATTAAAAGCATTCAAATTGAAAAGAAAGAAGTTAAACTCTCCCTATTTGCAGAGGACATAATCATACACATAGAAAAACCTAAGGAATCCATCAAAAAACTCTTAGAAATGATAAAGGAATTCAGTAAAATTGCAAAATACAATATTAACATACAAAAATCAATAGCAGTCTTGTACACCAAAAAACTAACTGGCTGAGAAAAAAAAAATCAAGAATGCAATTTCATTTACAATACTTCTAACGCACACATACACACATGCCCACACATACAAACCGAGGAATAAATTTAACCAAGAAAGTGAAAGATGCCTACAATGAAAACCATAAAATGATAATGAAAGTATACATGTTGGAATGCAAGCTAAGTGACATATGTGATTGAATGTAAAAAGAAATCGAAATTAAAAGTATATTTTTAAAAAGATTAGCAGGCCTTTTTTCACTTTATCTGAAAAAGTTATTTTTATAAGAAGAATGAAAATTTGAAAATTGTGTGTATATATACATATATATATATATAAAAGAATAAAATAAAAATCTTACATATGTAAAAAAAGAAATTGAAGTAGACACACAAAAATAGAAAGATATACCACATTCATTGATTAAAAGAATAAATATTGTTAAAATGCCAATACCACTCTAAAGTGATGTAAAAATTCAATACAACCTCTATTAAAATATCACAACATTCTTCAAAGAAATAAGAAAAGAAGGAATGGACCTGCTTTTGTGCAGGTCCTGCATAGTGCAGTGGTTAAGTACTGTATGAAGGGGCCTAGATCCCATATGGCTGACTATAGTTCAAATCCTAACCTTGGTGGCTTGAAAAACATGCAGAGTGCATGCACATGCATACCCCAAATCCTAAAAGGATAGAGAAATGGAGGAAAAGGGATTGCAGCATGACCACACCCCACTAGGGGACTCTCTCTCTCTCTCTCTCTCTCTGTCTCTCTCCCCACCCCACCCCACCCCATCACTCCCCTCCTCATGCCAATGGAAAAAGAAATGGAAACAGCAAAAGCAATCATACAATTTGTCTGAAATCAAGAGCCTCTGATTAACTTAAGCAATTCTGTACAAGGGCAAAATTGGAGGCATCTCACTACTTGAGTTAAAAATTTAATACAAAGTCATGATAAGCAAAATTCCATGGTATTGGCTCAAAAACAGATACTTAGACCAATAGAACAGAATAATAAATACAGAAATAAGTTCACAAACATAGAGCTAATTGATTTTTGACAAGACTCCCAAGAACATTCAGTGGAGAAAAAATCTCTTTGCTCTCCGGGCAGAGGGTGGAGCAGAGAGGGTGGAGAGGGGGAAGCTGCTGGTATCAGTTGATCCAAATGTCCCAGCCTGAGGTGTACTTCCCAACTCTGCCACCCCTAATGGAAGATCATTTATCAAGAATTTTGTATCAAAGGTCCAGAAGTTTGTTAACCAAGATGACGAATGCTGACATAAATGCAGTAGATTCTGAAAATCAGGTGGAACTGGAGGAGAAAACACGACTTATTAATCAAGTGTTGGAACTGCAACACACACTTGAAGTGAAGATCTTTTTACAAGAGTAGATACAGTTAAGGAAGAAACTCTGAAGCTAAAATCAAAAAACCAAGACTTCAGACAATGTACAGAAAACCTCATGTCAGCCTCCACTGTTTTTCAAACTGACACAAAAAGCAAAAGAAAGGGGATTGGTTTCCCTTCTGTTTTATGGACTTGCTGCTGGTCTTTTTTTCCTTTCAAGCTTGGATAGATTCCAAAAGTTAAAGTCATTTTGTTTGTGGCTTCCTCGACTATGTATGAAGATAATGTCAAGTCTAG